GTGCCTTCCCCTTTAGAGACTTGAGCTTGGACTACGGTCCCCGCCTGCTGGTGACCTACTGAGTATCTGCGCTCCTTGATTCTATTGTGCCGCCCACTGGTCGAGTCACCCTCCCATGGCGACCCTCACCCGCACCCGCACAATCTACGCCGGCGACTCCTCCGCCCTCTCCTCCCGCTCCGGCACCTCATCACGAGACGAGCACGGGTCCGTGCACTCCCTCCGCTCCATCCGCACCCTCTCGGACCACGGATGGGGGGACGACCTCGGCGCGCCGCTTGTGCGCATGGGCCCGCAGCTGATGCGCCTGCCGAGGATGGGCTACCTGGGGCCGCTCAGCGGGCTCGGGACGGGGAGCTACAAGAGCGGGACGGGGAGCGCGAGGAGCGAGGGCGCGTACAGCTGGGGGATGACACCGCTTGAAGGGACGTCGGAGCGGGGAGACGGGATGGGCGATGTGGATGCCGGAGTGGATGGGGACGTGGAGCCAGACGCGGATGCAGAGGCGGACGGGGAGGAGGACGTGGTGCTTGTCCAGCCAGAGGCCGCGGAGCTTGACCCGTGCTCGCCAGAGTTCGCGAGCAAGCTCCTGAGCGTGATGGAGGGCACCGGCACCGCGCACCCGTCTCGCGCGGGCGTGGGGTGCTACAGCTGCAACGGGAGCGACGTGGACGTGGACGGCGAGGCTGAGGAGCCTGAGAGCCCGGGGCATGTAGGGCACTTGCCGGACGCGGACTCGGTCGATGAGGTGCGTCTGCCACTCATCAGAGAAGGATGAATGTGCATTGACCCCGCACCAGCTTGTGGCAAAGCAGGATCAGTTTCACTGGACCGACCCTACAGGCAGGGCCGCATGGGTGCACTTCCGCCCCTCCCACCTGGACGATCCGGCCCTGCTGGTGAAGCGTCTCCTCCCCACAGCAGCCGAAGTGCGGCTGCTGCGCATGCTGGCGAGCGAGAGGATGCGGTACGACCCCGACAACCCGGTGAGCGAAGGGCTCGGGATGGTGGTGCGGGACGGGAGGGCGTGGGTGTGCGTGGAGGAGAAGCGGAATGTTGAGGGGCTGTATTTGGGGGCTGGGTGCGGGAGGGGGATGAGGAAGGAGTGGGGGAACGAGAAGGGGAACCTGATGCACCAGCTGCTGCGGGTAAGCACCTTCTGCTCCCTTTCCATAAGGTGTACTCAGCGTATATGCACCTGCAGTACCTCGCCTTCCTCCACTCCCTCAGCATCACATCGGTCGACCTCTCCGCATCGAACATACTCGTAACAGAGCACGCGTACGGGAACATCTACGAGCTGCTGGACTTCTCGACGTGCTTCCGGTTCACGGCGCGCAACTCGACGCGCGGGCCGCCGGTGTTCGACTGGCCTGAGGGCAGTAGGGGGGCTCCGGAGCTCCAGTGTGGTGCGCAGCGAGTAACAGGGGAACACGAGGAGGAAGAGGAAGAAGGGCAGGGAGATGCGGAAGAGGAAGAGGAAGCGCAGGCGAACCCGTTCGATGTGGATGTTTGGGCGCTGGGGAAGACGCTGGAGAGGATTGACGTGGGTCTTGTTCCTACCTGACTCCGCATCATTCTGATAATCCGGTGCAGTACACCGGCAGCAACCTGGAGCTGGTTGTGCAGCGAATGCTCGCTGCAGACCCGGCCGAGCGCCCCTCCGCAGGGGACGCTCTGGCGCTCTACTCGGAGCTGGTGGGCGAGGGCTAAGTTGCCGCCGTTCGCGCTTCCGCTTGACAGAGGTCAGGCGAGAGCACGCTGTATCATACACTTTCCTTTCTGGGCGTGTTTTTTGGGGTGGGTATCTTTAATGAGGGGGATATAATCGCCGAGACGCGACGAATGGTGGCTTGGCTAAATAGCCGGGATCGGGCTGAAAGAAAGATACCCCTTGCGCATATCACGAATGCCTGTACATCGATACTCAACCAGCTTGCAAACTGTGACTGTAATTAGCAATTTCCCTTCCCACAATGGGACAGTGATCTCTGGCCCGAAGCAATCGCGCTGGGGGGAGGGAGAGGAAGGAAGCATACGAGGCGCTTGTGATCTGAGAGAGACTCGCGATCGTCAGGTGGGAGCGACGTCATCATGAGCAGCTTCAGAACTTTACCGCTCAACCGGGCTCTGCACCTAGGTATATAGCTGTTTCTGAGCTCGCCTTGTAAGATAATAGCCACCTTGTAACCCCACCCCAAAACATCACTAGAGAAATCATGTCTATCTTCGCAATCCGCCGCTCTGTCCTCCGCACCGCAGGTGTCAGGTTGTACGCCTCCGGCACAGCGGGGAGCGTCAAAGATGCTGCCGGCGCTTTCAAGAAGGTACATATATGCTCGTTAAGCTGCATATATGCGTGCTGATCCGGATTAGGATGGTAAGATTGGAAAGGAGTTTGAGGCCGAGGGAGCGGTGGGTGGAGCGGCGCAAGAGGGTGTGTGATTTACCTGGCAGACGGAAACCGTGGGTGCTGATTGTATGCACCGCAGTTGGAGGACCGTTCGATAAGGATGGCGCGATTGGGAAGCACTTCACCTCCAAGGGCGCTGTGGGCGGCGCGGGACAAAAGGCGGCGGAAAGTGTGCAGGACATGGCAGAGGACGCAAAGAAGAAGAAATAGACTGCACTTGGACTGGAAACATTGCACTCATTATTCGTTCTGGGGCACCCTGTGGCATGCCTTTTACATCATGGTCAACCAAGAGAGGAGAATGTGATAGATGATGCGCATATATGCTGCTTTGGGGTGAGATGGTGCCAGGGAGGAGTGCCAATGTGCTCACGAAATATACTACTGCACCAGGAGACGCATCTACTCGAACCCGCCGCCGAACTCGAATGGGCTCGCAGCAAGCGGCTCGTACACGTAGAGCGTCGAGTTGTGCTGGTCGGGGAGGAAGTACACGCGGAGCTTGCCATCGACGATAGCCACATCGACCGGGTTCTGGGTCACGAGCGTGCCGAGGTCGCTCTTCATCGTGATGGGCACCTCGGCCAGGGGGACCATCGTCTTGAGGTCGACGATGGCGAGGCCGCCGATACTCGTGTTGTAGATGCTCGTCACACCGGAACAGAGCATGACGCCGCGGTAGTCGTACACGGCCGGGTGGCCGAGGAACTTGCAGTCCTGGTAGTCGGTGTAGTACGACGGGTTGCGGGTGATCGAGCGCGGGCGTGTGAACTCAGGGTACGCCGCGGGGACGTAGTTGAGGTTCCAGGTGGAGACGTTGCGGCTGCCCCAGTTGAGCATGTGCACGTTGCCCGTGTCCACGTCGTGGACCGCGCCGCCCTGGTGGTCCGCGATATGCAGGATCGTCGTCACGTTGATGGTGAGCGGGTCGATCTTGATCAGTGTCGCCGTCGCGTTCGGGCGGTATTCCGCAATCGTCGCCCAGATGTACTTGCCGTCGTAGTCGATCCCGCCGTTGTGGTACTCGATCGCGCCATCCTCGGTCAGCGTCGCGTCCGCGACACGCGTGCCGTTGCCGTCGAAGACGATGATGTGGGCAAAGCCCGCGCCCGGCTGACGGTCAGTGCCGTTGATGACGGTATTGTTGCCGTACGAGGTCGTAGGCGCGGTATACTCGCCGGCAGAGACGTAGAAACGATCATCGCCGATGCGGACGATACCCTCGGGCTCGTACTGCCAAGATTGACATCAGTACGGGCCCTTGTGCTGAAAGTATATGTAGCACGCACGGTGTCACCCTGGAACTTGATCTTCTGCACCAAATTCCACACCGTCGTCCTCCCGAGATTGGCAAACGCCGCAACGATCTCATCGCAGTCCTTAGCGGCACCCGGAAGGGGCAGCGGGCTGGGCGCCAGGGGCACGTCGGGCTGCAGCACGGTGATGTTGAGCGCAGAGACCGACGCGGCAAGCGCGAGCGCAACGAGGCTGGTGAACTGCATGATGACGCTAGAGTTGTGCCAAAAGGTTGCCTTGCCTGGCGTGGATACATTCGAGACGCACGACTTGCTGTTTATGTACCATCAGATCCCCATTCTGGGCGATTCGTCGCCGCGCTGTCCCGTGCCCCATGGTCGAGCTGCAGCAGAGGGAGGGTGAGCACGTGTATCGACCGCGAGATGCCATTAGCTGGGGGCCGGCGGTGCTCATGTACAGTGGTGTGAGGAGGACAGTCCGCCGGAATGTCCACGGGAGAGCGCGTCAAATAAGATGACCGAGCTGCATGCGGCCAACAGCTGCCTCGCGGGTCCCTGAGCATGCTGACATTCCACGTGGAGAGAGCGTTCCGATGGGGGAACGTGCGTTGCTTCTTCCGTGTTGCTATTGCTTCTCGGCGTTCCGGAATGATCTGTCCGTGGATGACTGGTCGGGCGACCGTCTGTATGCCCGGAATGTATGAATAACGCGCATGGAGGCGAGACAGCTTGCAGGGCAGCTTTCATGGGCTGGCCCGACCAGAGGCTGTCGCGCGCGAGCTGCGTATCGGGCCTAATATCGGCCACATCAACGTAAGCCTGCGCGCATCTTAGCCGAAAACGAGCCATGCCAGTGCCGTCCATTTGCAGGACGACAAATTGCACTTGTACGGCATCTGGCCGGAGAGACAAGGCCTTCTCCGGGTTACCTCATTGCGGGCTCCAGAGTCACCACAGGACAGGTGTCAGTGGGCCGGACCGCCTGACTGTGGTGGGTTGCTTCATCTAGTAGCTCCATAGTAGTAGAGGGTGCCAACGTGCGCCATACTGCGGCCTGGTCTTGCCCGTTTGTGACGGGACGAGTCCCTGTTGGGAGAAGACACTTGGAATGGAGCGGGCCAGTGCTACACCGAAAGCCGACTCATCGGAGCCGGATTGTTTCCACGGCCATGACAATGGACCCTTAGTGCAGCAAGCAAAATTATCCATCCTGCACGGAGGGCTTCAACTAATTCTGCTGAGATGAGAAGTAGAGCCACATACCAGTCTCGCTCCAGAAGCGAATGAAAGTGTTATCTCATATTGCTTTGGGACGCCCAGAAATTGTCCCAGTCTCGGTGGTGTAGTTGGTTATCACGTACGCCTCACATTGGTGTCCGCGTAAGGTCCTGAGTTCGATCCTCGGCTGAGACAAATAACTTTTGCCGGGGCCCTACCGCTTGAATTTGCCGCTTTAACCGATTTTCAGGCATAACTGCCACTAGAGTGTCCTTGGTAAGGTTCAGAGAAGCGGTCAACGAGGTTTTGGCAGGAGAGTAACGGTGAAGCCGTCGAGACTGTCGAGGAAATGTCGCGAACGGAGGCAAACTTTGAAGAAGAGCAAATAAACGATTTCATTTCTCATATATGGTACCTTTCGTGCATTACATTAGGCTTACGATTCCTCGTCATAGGCTCTCTAGCTCTGATACATCTCATGTCCGTGCGGCGCATTGATGTCAAACTTGTGCGCGACGAGGTCAGTCCTCCCGCCCAGGAGCTCGGACAGGTCCTTGATCCCCTCCCACCACGTGTGCTTCGCTCGGCGCTTCTTCATGTCCGCGTGGGCGACCAGGTCCTCGACGGGGACGAACTTGATACCCGAGCCTTGGATGGTGATGACCGCGGCGGTGTCGCGCGTGCCGCGCCGCCTGTGCGGCGGGTGCTGGAGGAGGTCGTGTGCGTGCTTCTCGAGGAACTCCATGCACATCATTGTGAGCCGGACGGCGCGCGCGCGGTCGATGGGCGAGGGGATGCCGCCTTGTAGTGTGTGGCCGAGGGAGGCGGAGCGCGCGTCGAACAGGTCGCCACCTTCCTCCTTGATGATGCTGGTGATGAGCTCGGTCGAGTAGACGTCGGACGATTTCTCGTTCCTGGCCATGTGGTCAGCATCGCTTATAAGCAAGAACGAACGGACGCACCGGACGATCAGACGACCCTCGCTCTTGCCCTTCTCGTCGAGCATGAAACGCGCCTTCAAGAAGCGTACATCCGCGCGAAGCGTATCCAGGTTGATGCCCCTTTCTGGCGTGTAGACGATAACTGCTCCAGTCTGATTCCATGAGCACAGAGTCTTTCGTGCCAGAAGAGTGCACTCACCGCCAGCGCGCCCATGGCCGCAATATACCCACACTGCCCGCCCTGCGTCTCCACGACAAACACCCTGTTCCTGCTGGCCGACGCGCTCTGCCTGATCGCGTCGCACGCGTCGACAAGGGCGTTCAGGCTCGTATCGCAGCCCAAGCTAAAGTCCGTGAGCGGGACGTTGTTCGAGATGGTCGCGGGCAGGTGCACCATCGGCACGTTGAACGCCGGGTAGTCCTTGCGGGCCTTTTCCAGGATGAGCAGGGCGGAGAAGGCCTCGAAGCCGCCGATCATGAAGAGCGCGTCGAACTGGTGCTGCTGGAACTTGCTGGCCACGCCGCCCAGGTCCGTGTCCGGCAGCGTGCGGTTCGTGCCGAGCTCGGACCCGCCCCGCGCCGTCCAGTTGTCCACCTTGAGCCACGTGACATCCGCGATGTTGTCGTCCAGCAGGCCCTTGAACCCGTTGTTGATGCACACTGGCTTGTGGCCCTTGCTCAGGCAGTAGCGCACCGCCGTGCGCGTCGCTGCGTTCATCCCTCCAGCCGGGGCACCCATGCTACGTGAAAACATCAGCACCTACCCCTCTCAAGAACAGCAAACGCACTGGAGGATGGCCACCCTGAGCCTCTTCTCCCTCGGCAGCCGATTCCCCTTCTCCAGGGTGCTCGTGAGGTTGAACGCATGGTAGAACTGCTCAAACTCCGGGTCGCGCAGGCTCATCGCCGTGGCAAAGTCGCGCGCCTCGATGGCGGCGGCGACGGCCTGCGTCTGCTTCACCGCGTCGACGAGGGGGATGCGCAGGATCTTGTTCTCGTGGATGCCGATCATATACGACGGCTGGTCGGGCGTCGCCTCGAGCAGCGCGTTAACCGCGTCGATGCCTTGCAGCGTGGGCTGTCACGGGATGCGGGCCTCAGCACCTCCCCGCATGCGCATCGGAGCGCAGAAGCAAGCACAACTCACGAGAATACGATCCATGGCGACCGGCCGCCCGCCGCGCTGCGTATGCCCCAGCGTCGTGACCCGCGTGTCGAGCTTGAGCACCTCGGTCAGCACGTCCTTCACCTTGTCCGCCTTGATTGGGTTCAGGTCCCGGTCGTGCGCGCCCTCGGCGACGATGACGATCGTCTTGCGCTTGCCGACTTCGCGGTGCTGCGCGTGGGAGGGTTAGCGGCTGCGTCTGCGTAGCATATACGGCCAGAGCTGGAGCAGGGGCAGCAATCATCCCGCACAAGCAGAAAGGGAGAAACGCGGAAGAAGGGCGATGGGAAGAAGAATGGAAAGAGGAAGAGAAAGCGGGAAGACGCACCCTCCGGATCACCTCGCACATCTCCTCCTCCCAGGGCTGGCTCTTCGGCGGCTGCTCGGGGATGAACACATAGTCCGCGCCAGCACTCACGCCGGCCATGAGCGCGAGCCACCCACAGTGCCGTCCCATGACCTCGACGACGAAGGCGCGCGAATGGGAGGCAGCAGTGCTGTTGATGTTGTCGATCGCTTCGCAGATCCGGTGCAGGGCCGTGGGCGCACCGATCGTCATGTCCGTCAGGGCCATGTCGTTGTCGATCGAGCCGACGAGGCCGGAGATCTTCAGGTGCGCGTAGGTGGTTGCTTGATCCTGGGTGATCTGGTCTGCTCGCACCCAATTGGAAGTCCTATCAACACGGGTCATCGGGAAGAAGAGAAGGAAGGGGAACGCACTACTGGATAGAAGCTGCTTCACGAGGTCGGGCCACTCGGCGCGCAGCCTGTCCGCGCCCGTCAGCGAGCCGTCACCCCCACACACGACGAGCCCGTCGATGCCCTCCTTTATCAGGTTGTGCGCTGCGGCAAGCCTGCCCTCGGGCGTCCGGAACGCTGCCGAGCGGGCGGAGCCGATGAAGGTGCCTCCCTACGTATTCCCAGTATGAGCCCCCCTGCGCTCCAGAAGTAGCGAGGAGAAGGGAGAAGGGCAGCGCACCTCGCCCATCCACCCCCTGACGTCGTCCCACCCCACGCGAACAATATGCCTTCCCTTGAGCGTCCCGGACTCCTGCTCGTCCTCCTCCGCGTCGCCCGCACCCTCTCGCAGCGCCGGGCCGTCGCCAAAGCTGAGGTTCTTGAGGAGCGAGTCGTCGCCGAAGTGCGCCAGCCGCTCGGCGGGCAGGTTCCGGTGCACTTTCCGGTGTGGGCGCGGGGGGGCCGTGTTGCCCCGCACGAGCCCTTCGTACCCCTCGCGGATGACGTAGACTTCGCACCCCCTGCGACACCAGGCATATATACAATCAGCACCCGCTCCCCGCGGTGATAGGACAGGGCGAAGAGACGCACTTTGTGATACCAGCCTTGACGACGGCCCTGACGGCGGGGTTCATGCCTGCGCTGTCGCCGCCGGACGTGAGGACGGCGATGCGCATCCTGCGGTGTGGGACTGGGGAGCCTGGGAGGTGGATGTGTGCCTGGGCAGCTTCGGCTGGGAGGGCCATGCGGTGGGCGTCAGAGTAGGGTGACCAGGGGTTAGTTCGAGTGGCGGAGACGGAGTGGGGTGGAGTGGAGTGGCCGGCGTTGATATGCGGCCGGGAGGGTTGATGGCTGATGGCGGATGGCTGTATGCGGCCGTGCACGTTCGCGGGCTGAGTGATGCACGCCTCGCGGGATCGGTACCGGCCAAGGGAGCGTCTTCCCGAGCGGACGGGGAAGAGGGAAGAGGGAAGAGGGAAGAGGGAGGAAGAGTCGGGCGACGTCTTTACTAGCGTGCGCGCCTGGGCTGGGCCACCCGGTGGATAGACCCTTCCTCCTCCTCTCCTCCTCCTCCTCCGTGCTGACGAGTGGCGGTGCCGCACTAACGTCATCAGTACACCCGCGTATTGGGGCAAGCCCTATGGGCTATGGGTGGCAGTGTTCATAGGCCCCTCATAATTTAACTCCGTTTGCCCCCGCTTGCTTCCGTCTCTACCCGAGCCGGTCCAGGCCCATAGCCGGTCACTTCACACTGCAAAGGCACTGAGTCAGGGTCCATTGTTAAAATTAACTGTAAGACTAACAACGCCGTGCTGGCTACTCTCAGTTGCTAGCCACTAGGCCAGTCCTACAGTCTCCCCTACTCAAGCTACACTACTCTGGCCACCTCCATAGACCCCCCCCCCCCCCCACCCCCCCCCCCCCCCCCCCCCCCCCCCCCCCAGCCCCCCCCCCCCCCCTAGATCCCTCTCCACCTCTTAGGATCACTTTCCACTATGCTCCTCATCGAGCTTGTCGAACAACTTTGGCGTCGCCGCACGGAGCTGGCCAACATCACTGTTGACCAAGCTTCCCAGTTCTTCAGTCTCACCCGGCGCCTGCAAAATCGCATTGCATGGCAACAGATCACGCATACTGGCGCTGCCGACACCCCCCCCGCGGAGTTACCCCACTCCATCACTGCTTTCCTTGCCGACGGCCTACAGGCTACTGTCCAGCAGATTCACTCTCTCTGGACAGCCCTGTCGCCCGCGGCTTGGGCCCCTAGCAAGGATCCCACCCGGCTCACGTTCCCCGCGCTGGATGCTGTCGACGTTCTTGCCCAAAAGGCTCAAGACTTTGACCTTGGTAACACATCATCTCATTCACCTCCCCATCTATACTCACGCTCTATCAGGGTTTGAGCACTTCTATCCCCCCACCCGCGTCTGTATTCGCGACGACTGTCCCCACTACCTCCAGCACCACACACGAGCAAGACTCACCTTTCGAAACCAGCACTACGCTGGTCTCTACACCCTCGGCCACGGCGCCGTCCCCGTCATCCTCCACTCCCTCCGATGCCGGGCCTGCTCTGCCACGTACCACCTCAACTACTTCCGGGCGAACGACTCTCTTGGCGACCAAGCTCGTATCTACTATGGTGGTCAGCCCCACGTCAACCAAGCCGAGAAGCACATGGTCTTCGAAGACCGCCTCTGTCACCTGTTCCGCTCCCAAACTGTCCACGCCCAGTACGTCCCTCACGCTCTCCCCTGCCCGCACCACCCTCCCGGCCGTGACGCATGACACCCGAAGATCTTCTACTCACCTTACTCTCCTCACCAGTGCATCAGCCTCTGCAATTGCAG